GAAACAGTAATGAAGACATATATGTGTTTTCTCCACAAGAAAATAAAAGGGGCTATCAGAAATTCCAGGAGATAAAAACAGTCTAAGATAACTGCTTTCAGCATATCATGCAGAATAAAATGTAGCAGGGTTTTCAGCAATGAGTAGAATTCAAACAGAAAGAATACATTTCAATTTGGTATTAGACATACAGATCTATCTTTGGAATTCAGAAAACAGGATATAAATTTGGCAAATTGATTTTTCTCTTCCCTGAACAAAATTTGCACAACCATAAGCAAATCTTTGCAAGTTGTCAACTTTTAGAATTAAACCTATAGACAAAACATCATGTTTAAAAAATAAAAACAAACTGCTTTAACAGTGTAGGCATAAGGACATATCTGACAAAAGTTAGTAGATAGGAATGGGGAAATTAGGAGGTCAAAGTAACAGGAAGACTAATCACACACATATAAATCTATATATAAACCACATGGTAATCACAAACCAAAAATCTATAATAGATAACACATTACCAAAGAAAGAATGGAATCCAAACATGACAGGATCGTCATCAAATCACAAGGGAAGTAAACAAAAGTTGTCAAGCAAAATACATCAGAGAAACACAAACACCATATGATTTCACTTATATGTAGAATCTAAAGAACAAAGAAATGAACAAATACAACAAAACAGAAACAGAGTTATAGATGCAGGGAACAAACAGCTGGTAGCCAGATGGGGGAGGAAAGAAATAGGTGAGGGAGATTAAGAGGTATAAACTTAGAGTTGCAAAATAGATGAGTCACAGACATGAAACGTACAGAGTGGGAAATGTAATCAATAACTAAATGATATCTTTAGATGCTGACATATTGTAGCTAGACATAATGTGGTGATAAGTTTGAAATATATAGAAATAACAAATCACTGGGTTGTGTAACAGGAGCTAACATAGGTGTAGATCAACTATACTTCAAAAATAAATCAAATTCATAGAAAAAGAACTCAGATTTGTGGTTACCAGAGGAGAAAGGTGGGAGAGGAGGAATGGGCTGAAGGCAGTCAAAACATACAAACTTCTAAGTATAAAATCAACAGACAGCATGTAACATACACTGTGATAAATATAATCAACACTGCTGCAAGTTATATAGGAAAGTTGCTAAGAGAATGAATCCTTAGAGTTCTCCTTACAAGGAAAACATTTTTTTCTATGTCTTTAATTTTGTATCTATATTCCATGATGGATATTCACTAAACTTATGGTGATAATTACCTTATAATATATATAGTGCAAATCATTTTGTTGTATACCTTAAACTTGGTGCTATATATCAAAATTACTTCAACAAAACTGGAAGAAAAATGTAATTGAAAATATTTTTGAAAGAACAGGAGCCACTAATATTCTTATTATAAAATGTACAAAACCAAGAGATACAGCCTATATTTGAAAGAATAATAAATGTATGTGTGTCTGTATATATGTGTGAGTACATACACATACACATATATACATATATATGTATATATGTACATATGTGTGTATATATATATATATTCCTGCATGCATGCTCAGGCATGTACGACTCTTTGCAACCCCACAGACTATAGCTGGCCAGGATCCCCGATCCATGGGATTTCCCAAGCCAGAATACTGGAATAGGTTGCCATTTCTGACTCCAAGGCATTTTCCTAACCCAGGGATCAAACTTGAGTCTCCTGTGTCTCCTGCATTGGCGGGTGGATGCTTTAACAATGAGTCACTGAGGAAACCCACATACACACACACACATACACACACATACACACACACACACACACACACAGAGAAAGAGAGAGAAAGACTATTATTTCATAAAGAAAGAAACTAGAAAATGATGGAATAACTACATTGGGGAGTTGGCAGGTACAAAATGATAGAAGTGAACTAATTCCTTTCCACATTATAGAAAAGAAATAATCATTTCGAGAATTGATAAATCAAGAAAGAGCAGTATGAACAGTTTCCAGATACTATAGTTTCCCAAAACAAGGAAACAATTGTAAGAAGTTGCCCTGCTTGCCATTTCTTGTTTCTGTGCCATTTAATTTTTTTAACCATTTGCTTGAAATATTTTTATGAGAATTTTATTTGATAAAGGGAATAAGTGGCCCACATATATCCTCAATAACACGCACAGCAGGCTCAGTATGAGTTCTATGCAGGACTGTATGAGCCAAATTGCCATTTGCAATTCTAGTTCTTTAGGTGCAAAGAATCACAGGTGCAGGGAGAGTAAAAGCTCTTGTTCTCTGTCCAGTCACACCCAGTCCCCACTGATGAACTGAACACCTTTTTAAAGTATTTACCTATCAATTATGGTACAGACACCTCATCAAACTTTAAGGCCAAAAGCACTGAAGATCAGCCTCAACCAGGCACTGCCGTAAAAGCATTCTCTTTGGTCAACTGTTTCTCCATCAGTGTAATCTGGGCAATTCTATAGGGACTTTCAACTATTAATATAAACATCAGACTTGCTTCTGAGATGAAATGAGTGTGTAGTGGTCTGGTTTTTCTACAACTGCTCTAATTTTGGCCTTCACAAATATTTTTTAAAAACTACATGCTGTTAGATAACCAGATATATGAAAGAAGAAAAAAGAGTAAAGGATAATGTGTCAACATATTAGATAGCATGTCTGGGGACTTTTGGAGAAGGAAATGGCAACCCACTCCAGTACTCTTGCCTGGAAAATCCCATGGACAGAGGAGCCTTGTAGGCTACATCCATGGGATCGCAAAGAGTTGGACAAGACTGAGCGACTTCACTTCACTTTTGGGGACTTTATGGTGAAGGACAAAGGAAGTTAATAAGCACTTGGTCATGGAGGATCTGGAGAAAAAGGAAATAACAGGGGCGAAAACCCTGAAGAAAGATGTCTGCTGGGCTTAGTAAGGCTGGAGTAGAGTGGTGGTGAGGGGCTGTAATTGTGAAATATAATTCAGGGGGCAGTGTGACTGGAGAGGGACATATAGATCATATGGAGTCTTGTTGGGCAAGTTAAGACTTAGGGATTTTCTCCAACAGAAGGAGAAACACTGGAGATTTCTGAGCATGATTAACATGATGTGTTGGCCACCGGGTTGATATCTGAAAATGTACAAAAGCAGGAGTAAGGAGACAAGAGATGATGAGAAGTGGACGGGTTTTACTTTGAAGGTAGAGATGATAGCAGAGAAAGAGAAGCTTCAAGTATTAAACCAAGGTTTTCAGAATAAAAACTGGAAGAATGGAGTTGTCACTTACTAAGATATGGAAGACTCAAGGAGGAAAAGGTCCTGGAGGGGGCATGTCAGGAGTTCAGAAATACCTACTAGATATTTCTTCCTAGATAAAAAGAGATCATACCTATATTTTCACCATAGTAAAAATGTGATTGAATTAAAATATTCTCCACTTCAGGTAAATGGAAATATGACCATTTTGAGATTTCTAATGTTACTAAAAGCATCCCAAATCCGTATTGCAGGAAAATGGACCTGGAACACAGCAATTAAGCATGCAAATGAGCAGCTCTTTTCTTTTGGTCCTGGGAAAATATCATTAATCAAATTTATGAATGCAATGAAATCACTTCTTCCATGTTTATTAAAGTCATTATGAAAATGTTATCTCTGGGCTCAGCTGACAGTTTTCAACTTAATGTGGCTTTTAATCAATGGCAACAAAATCAATTATGTCACCACTGGACACCTCAAGGAAGGTAAATTACTACCAGTCAAAACTTGTTTTCCTTTAGATTTATATCCTCACAGATATATTTAAAAAAAAAAAAAAAGGTAACTAGAACCATAAAAAAAAAAATAGTAGAATCATGTTTTCTATAGGGATAGCACTGTATAATGGAAAGGACCCTTCTTTAGGAGGAAAAAGCAGTCTGAGTTCCATGGTCTGCTACCCACCAGCAGTGTAACCTTTAAAAATTCACCTGATTTTATTGAGCTGCAGATTCTCCTTCTTTCGAATGCCTTCTTAAAGCTTTACTATACAATATAAATGTAAAATCGTATTAATCATAAATTACATGTAAATCACCTACTCACTTATTTACTCATTCAAATATCATTACTTACTTAGTGCCAATCAGATATTTTAATATCATTTGACTGTGTAAATAATATTTTTTAAACTTTTTATTTTATATTAGAGTATAGCCGATTAGCAACATTGTAATAGTTTCAGGTGGACAGCAAACAGACTCGCCATACAAATACATATATCTATTCTCCCCCAAACTCCTTGAAGTAAACATCTTCATTTGCTTGGAAAACATACAGGCATGTATTCAAGGCAGGTGAAGGGTGGAAAGGAAGGTGAATGGGCAGATAGATGAATTAATCAAATGACAGTGTACATGAAACTATTTCATAAAAGTTAAAGTGCCATTCCAATATTGATTTTGAGTATTCAGGTAGAATAGCCACCTGCCCCCAAAATAAAGGGAGATAAAAGTTTAAAGATGTGTTGACAATACATTTATAATCTCAAGTTACACAGCCACCTTTTGAAGAAAGTTGATATGATGTTCTATTCCCCATTCCAAGTTATAGCCAGCCATTGTATTCAATACTTTCCACCAGAGAATACACAATATAATTAAATGACAACATGAAGATTTTCCAACTATTAAAACAGAAGTAAAGATATATCCCAATCTAAATATAAACCTCATTAAAATTTCTTAGGAAAAAATTTAAAAAACCACACAATCAACAGAAATTAAATCCTATTGACCTTACAAGTTAAAATCTCTAGAAATTACTAGTCCAAAATCAATGCTCCTCAAATTTGTATTCCACTCAACCTCAACAGGGTGAATTCTCTATGCTAGGGAGAGGCCTTCAGAGGTTCTAGTCTTGTTAGTTCTTCTGGGGATACTCAAGACAATATATTCATCACTAAATCTCTCAATAAAAGCCCTTTTAATGGTCTGAAAAGTTAATAGGGTATTAAATATTATCATAGTATTTGCTGCATATCTATGAAATTTAGGGATAGAAAACATTACCTATCTCTAAAAGTTATCACATTCAACATTATGCTTCTAAATACTGTATTCAGGAATGTCAAAGCATCACTGGTATCTGAGAGAAGGAAAATGGACATAGAGAATTTCAGTGTCAGTCTGGCTAAAGTACTAGTCAGTTTATAAGAGATGCTTAGAATCCACAACCTGTAAGATCAGGCTCAATTCCACCAACAGGTTAATGTTAGGAATAAGTTTATTAGGAGAAAATCATCCTGTTATACTATTCCCATCTTCAAGCTACTTGTTTTGTATTTTTTTCGCAGGGGGGGAAACGTTTAAAAAATTGCAATGTCAGCAGCCTTCGTCATTTAAAGCACTTTTTCTCATATTCAGTATATTTGACATATCTTAATATTCATTTCTCCTTTGAGTTCTATGTTTCTCTCATCCCAGTGTTCAGTTGTCAGCAACATCTAATGATGCAACATCCCTAATGACTTGCAACAATTCAACTATTATTTGAGTTGGTTTTTTTCTCTGTTTGGGCTTCCTATGTGGATTTTTGGTAAAGAATCCACCTGCAATGCAGGAGACCCTGGGTTTGATCCCTGGGATGGGAAGATACCCTAGAGAAGGAAAAGGCTACCCATTCCTGTACCAGTTGAGTTTGCTGAGCTTGACTTCTCTCCATTGACTTTCCATGGGTTTTTCTAGTCAAGAAGCTTGTTTTTCTAACTCCTCCAGATTTTCTCTTCTGGAGCCTCATCAGAGTAAGGGATATAAAATCAGTTAGCCTGGGTCTACCTGAAGTATTTTGCCCATTTTTGCTTCTTTTTCTGGGTAATTCCCACCATTAGGTAGGCTTCCCTGGTGGTTCAGACAGTAAAGAATCTGCCTGCTCTAAGGGAGACCTGGGTTCGATCCCTGGGTTGGGAAGATGCCCTGGAGAAGGGAATGGCTACCCACTCCAGTATTCTGACCTGGAGAATCCCCATGGACAGAGGAGCTTCTCAGGCTACAGTCCATGGGGTCACAAAAAGTAGGACACAACTGAGCAACTAACACTTTTCACCACTAGGGTATTTCTCTGTAGACGGACATATAGTCAAAACCACAATCTATTGTTCTATGCATCTCATCTATGTTGTGACTTCCTACAGAATATGAATTCCATAAATCTCAAGTATGTTCCCTCAGGACAAAGAGAATACCTGACTTCCCCTTGTAATAATTCATAATGGTTTGAGTATTCTGCACTAATATTCCTAAGTTCCTCCTTGTAAATGTGTCCAAATTTCCTTATAACCAAATGGCATAGTCATCCTGGTCTTCCAGGTATAATGACGCAAATATTCTCACAAGGAATTCTCTATCTTCAGCTTTAAGAAATTCTTCTCCATAGTCATTTGGATCCTAGTTCCTTCCAGCATAGTTATTTAATTCTGCTATTCTCTTTCTGTCAGAATTCTTTGAGTCCCAGTCACCTTTTCTGTCCTAGTACCAACTAAACCAATATCTTGCCTTTACCTTCTTCAGAGCAATTAAGTGCAGGTTCAGTTCTTTCCCTTTTATATCTGACTCCCCTGGCCCTTACGATCTCATTTTTCCCTTCACATCTGTCTAGTCTGTGAGCTAAAATACAACTTTTCTAATAAGCAGCTCTCTTTCTCCAACTCACTAAGCCAGACTTCCTTTATTTTGTTTTTAGCTAATCATTCCAGTTCCTTTTCATTTTGTAATTATTTTTTTGTCAGAGTTACTTTACAATGTTGTGTCAGTTCCTACTGTATAGCAAGATATACATATAACCCCTCCCTTTGACTCTCTCCTCATCCAGGTCACCGCAGTGTGCTAGGTAGACGTCTCTGCGAAACAGTTATGTTCTCATAGTCTGTTTCATGCATAGTATCAGGAGTACATATGTGCCCATCTCAATCTGCTAATTCCTCCCAACACCACTTCCCCCTTGGTATCTATAGATCCATTCTCTATGTCTGTGTCTCTATTTGTGCTTTGCAAATAAGATCATCTATATCATTTTTCTAGATTCCACATATATGCATTAATATATGATATTTGCCTTTCTCTGACTTACTTCACTCTGTATAACAGTCTCTAAGTCCATCCTCATCTCTACAAATGACCCAATTTCATTCCATTTTGTGGTCCAGTGGTATTCCATTGTATATATGTACCACCTCCAGTTGCTTCTTAATTGACCGGTAAAACTTAATTTTCCTACTGTTAAAAGGTATAACTTTCAATTGCCTTCTTAGTGGGTTTGCAACAACCTAACTTTGAGTTATATCATTACCATATTCCAGGAGAATATCATATTCTCTTCATGAAAAGAGTTTCCATTCATTTTCAGTTATTCATTCATAAAAATCTACCACACTTTCCTGGGAAAACCCATAGTTTGGGTCTGTGAAAACAGGTTCCACAGTGAAAGTTTATTCAGTTAACAAGTCTCAAGCCAACTTGAGGCCACATAGTTTGTTCCTGCTATACATTTATGTATTGGCCTTGCAGGCAAGTGACATAAGGATGAACAGAATGTGCATCAGCTGGTCTAGCACTGCTCACAACAGCCCTGGTACAAATAGTGCAGAACTAGAACCTCACAGAGTCCTGTAGAATCTGCAAAATTCAGCCATATTGCAGTCTTAAAGCCACAAATATCATTACTCCTTTCAAGGTCCAAAAGGACTAAACTTCGCTCCACCTGAAATTATTCGGCCAAGCTGTGCCTATGAATCTCAAGGTCTTACTGTCACAGTCTTACCTAAAGGCATCTATATCCAAGAAGGCTAAAGTCACCTGCACTGCCCAACTGCATCTAAGGCACAGGTGCTCATAGCCTTGCCTGAATAAAAACTGTCACTTTCCTAGGACAAAGTTATGCGCTTCAGTGACCCATCAAAGTCAAAATCCCACCTGGCCAATTTACCAAAGCCTGAGGCCTAATGCCACCCACCCAGGGAGCATGAGTTAAAAGCCAATAATAAAATGATTTAAAAAAAAAAAAAAACCAGCCATATGTTGTGCTATAGAGAGTTACTACCCACCAAAGTCAAAAAACCATGACTTCCACCTCTGCCGCTACTTGGGAGCCAGAACCCTCTTGGATTGTTTTAGGGTCTGGCTTTGGTAATGCACCTCTACCTCCACAATCCCCTTCTCCCCAACTTTTATTCCTGACCTGTTATCAAGGTGTCTGATCCAATATACAAGATTCAGAGGCTCGCATGTTGAATATGTAACATTCCTCTCCCCTTACTGAAGTTCAAAACCAAATGAGAACTGATTACAATGTTAGGAGGATGGAGACATCGCCTTTATGACTAAGGAAACTGTTGGGGTAATGACTTACTTACATGTGCAGTCACAGTGAATTCCTAACACTGCACCCCATGGTCAGGCTGTCTACCATATGTTAGAGAGGAAAACCGAATACCATATTCATCTAATGAAAAATGTGTAAAGCATGCCATTATCTTTTGCACTCCTAAGGAAGAAATGAACCCTGCCTATCATTTAAACTAGGACCTGCCATTAGTCATAAGATATATGTTTATTTAGAGATGCTGAGTTATTTTAAAAGTGTGTCTTGGCATAGAGAACAGACTTGTGTTTGCCAAGGGGGAGGGGAAGCATAGATTGGAGTTTGGGATTAGCAGATGCAAACTACTGTTCATAGAATAACAAACAAGGTCCTACTGTATAGGGAACTATATTCAATATTCCAAGGTAAACCATAATGGGAAAGAATATGAAAAAGAATACATGTTTATACATGCATGTATAACTGAATCATTTTGCAGTACAGCAGAAACTATCACAACACTGTAAATCAACTATACCTCAATAAAATTCATTGTTTTTAAAATGTGTCTTACAGAGAGAACAGACTTATGGACATGGCGGGAGGGGAGGAGGGAGAGGGTGAGATGTATGGAGAAAGTACCATGGAAACTTACAACACCATATGTAAAACAGCCACTGGGAACTTGCTCTATGACTCAGGGAACTCAACCAGGGACTCTGTGACAATCTAGAAGGATGGGATGGGGAGGGAGACGGGAGGGAGGGGAACATGAGTGTTCCCATGGCCGATACTTGTTGATGTTTGACAGAAAACAAAACAAAAAAAAACCTCTGTAAAGCAATTATCCTTCAATTTAAAAATAAATATTTTTAAAAATGTGTCTCAGAATTGAAGAAACATGACATCTGGATCTCTACAAGCTGGCAAACGCCACAAAAAGCAAAGGGGACATGGTTATGCTGTCTGTGTCCCCTACACGTGAATACGATGGTTGACTCCTCCACTGAGGAGCCACAAGAAAGGGGAAGAGAGGCCAGGCACAGCTATCCCAGCTCATAAAGGCTTGGAAATATGAGACACGGAGGAAAGAGATGCCCTCACTCAACCAAAAATTAATGTTCTGTTTCAAAGAATCTGCAATAGTGTGAAAGATGATGCCAAAAGTAATCTTGAAAACTTTTCATACAGAAAAAAAAAATATACTTGTCCTTCACAGAAGACAAGTTCTGCAGGAAAAAAAGAAATCTAAGTATGAAGGTAATATTTATTTTGAAAGACTGGAAATAATATTTCCACAGGGCAGTTTCAATTTTAAGAGAATAATTAGAGCACAGTAAATACGTTGGGGCAATCATTTGCAATTTTCAAGCATTGACCCAGCATTTTAAACAATCAACAGAAACAGGATCTAGAACTTGATTTTATCAGAATAACACAATTGGTCTAATGAGTTTAATCAATCTTGACTGTTCGTTTATCTGAATGGTCTCATGGTAAGTCTCCTTTTAAATCAGAAATATTACAGTTTTAGTCTCTGTAGCAAAGACAGAGTGTTGATTTTCAACTTTCAGTTGACCAGAAGCATGCTAGCTCAGCATTATGGATAAAGGGACATTCAGGAATCTGGTGAAAATGACCACCGAAAGCAAACAGATATGTATTATAGAAAAACAATACTGCATGACTGTCGAGGGCATCATCTGTGGAGTCCGGAAGGCCTGAGCTCTAACGTGAACCCCACTACTCATTAAACAGGCAGATGCTCACTTCAGTTCACTTCAGCTTCTTCATCTATATAAAGTAATAATACTTGCTCCCTCTCATGACTGTTGTATGAATTAGAAGGAAATGTATGCAAATCACTGGAACAATGCCCAATCCATAGAAAATTGTCAAAAACAGAAATACTTAATTTTTGCTATGGGAAAATACACACTACAGATACAGCTTACACACGAGATGAATACTGTTTTCCAGTATGGTAATGATTAGTGCAGTTCCCAGCTCTTTCAGGTCCTCTGCCTTCTGGACATGGGATAGAGTTACATCTCTGCCCCCTTATGGTTTCTGGGATTACTTCTGCCCGCTAAGCTGTGAATAAAATTTATGTGTGTCTCTTGCCGGTCAGTACATTTAAATATTGATGTGGGATCCTCGAGCTCTTTCTCTCCCTTTGCCACAACCGACAGGGTTCCATAGGGTGAGTGGCTGCTCCACCAGCTTGGATCCCAGAGTGAGGACAATATGAAACAGAGCTCCTAGTCAACCTTCAAAAAACATGTACTATGAGTATTGTCATAAACCAGCAAGATTCAGGGATTGTTATTACTGCAGCATAATTTAGTCAGTCTTACCAAGCACACCTAATTAATCTCACCTCTGAGAATCACATGTTTTATAATTACATTATCATAATATCAGTTTTTATATGTCATACATCTTCCTTCTATGGTTATCATCAAGCAGATTGTTGGCAATATTGCTGAAATTAATTCATTCAACAAGTATGTTCCATGCACTGTGCTATATTCCAGGCAAAGAACACTGAACAAGAAGACATGGTACCTGGAGAAGGAAATGGCAACCCACTCCAGTATTCTTGCCTGGAGAATCCCATGGACAGGAGCTTGGCAGGCTGCAGTCCACGGGGTCACAAGAGTTGGACATGACTTAGCCACTAAATAACAACAACACAGGCGTCACATTCAACTTAATGTCTAACAACTAATGGCTTTTGAAGACAAATGGGCAAGACAGACATTTATGTTCCCTACTGTGATATCAATACACAGTTCCCACACTCCCCTTTATTCTGCCTATTTAACTGGCCACAGCTAATAGTCTACTCAAACTTATACTCCCCAACTGTTTGTAGATTTAGGAGGAAAGGAAACTGGAATAAACTGATAATTCTGTAAGCATTAGTCTTTCTTGAGGCTTTCCAGAATATAAGACCCATTCTGAACCCTGTGTGGAAAGAGCCCAGAGCAAGGTAGAGGCCTGGTGTCCTACCTCAGAGTAGCCACTGACTTCAGGGAGATGTGGTTTTAGAGCTGAAGGAGTTAACTAGTGCCCTGACCACACCGGAGATGCAGAAAGAGATCCAGGAGCTAAAGAAGGAATGTGCTGGCTACAGAGAAAGACTGAAGAACATCAAAGAGGCCACCAACCATGTGACTCCAGAAGAGAAAGAGCAGGTGTACAAGGAGAGGCAGAGGTACCACAAGGAGTGGAGGAAGCGCAAGAGGATGGCAACAGAGCTGTCTGATGCCATCCTTGAAGGATACCCCAAGAGCAAGAAGCAGTTCTTTGAGGAAGTTGGGATAGAGACTGATGAAGATCACGACGTCAAGCTCCCAGATCCCTGAGAGGCTCCCCCAGCAGGACTGGAAACAGAGACGTCCTGGACTGGCTGCTGTGTTTAGGCCAGCTCTTTTGTTCCTGGTGCTGTCCACCTTTGAGCACACACCAGAGTACTGGGTGGAGGGAGGAAGCACAGGTGGCCCAGAGAGGATGGGCATACTCATTTCATCAGCCACATGTCGACTGCTTAAACTCAACACTTAGATGTGGAACAACACTAAAGGACAGCATTTGGCAATATTTATTGTAATATCATTTGATATAAAAATATTTCATTTCTTCTGGATAATTACACCTCCCAAATATCAAACCTGAGGAAGGCAAAAGGGAGCTTGGGGAACAAGGGCAGAGAGAGGCTGCCATACACAGCATTCAAGAAGCCCAGGGCCTTACCCAGGATTCTCCTGGGCTCTACAAGTCAGAAGACCTTTAAAGAATCTCCTGTACCCACCTTCACCCCACCCCAAGTCCTGGGAGAAATGTAGGAAGCACTGAGATGGTAGAGAGCCAGATACACTTGACAGAAAGGTTACAAGTAGTCTGGAGGCCAGTTAATTCTCCAAAATTGTAACTTTAGCAAAACTGCATTATTTAGAAAAATTAAACACTTTGAATATGTAAAAAAAAAAAAAAAAAAGAAGAAGACATGGTACCTTTCCTCATAGTTCATTACGAAGTTGACTGGATCATGGAGGAAGGAGGAGATCACAGATAATAACCAAAAAATTCTTTTAAAATTTTGGCTTCTTTAATTTTAATTCATATAGAGATCAATCACCACATACTCCCAATCATTACAGTCACAATAGGTACATAATCTTATTAATTTTCAAATTACCTGAAACTTTCAATCATGCTATTACTCCTTAAAGTGAAAACTTACCTGGGAGAGAAAATCATTACCAGGCTAAAGCCCTTAGTAGGGACAGTTTATTTGCTAACATTTTTTACAAATGGCAAAGCTACTACAGATGAAAGCTCTGTGAAAGGTAAAAAGAAAAACTACACAGAATTTTGAAGGGAAATGAAGTTTAGGTATATAAGGAACAACCTAAATGTAGACCACCGGTAAGCACAGGGTGGTTTGTGGTAAAATGGGAGAAGCAGAAAGGCATCATTCATTGAAAAGGAATAAGGAGAGGCAAGATAGGATCTCAGAATACATACTGGATTTAAAATCCATTAGCTTGATTAAGGTTCTGACTTTACTGCTCATTTACTGTGTGACCTAGAATAAGTCAGTTAACTTTTTCTCTGCCTTAGATTCTTCATCCAGAAAATATGGACAGTAGCTTAAAAAAAACTCAATAAGTTTTCTAGACATGAAAGCATTTCAAAAACCCAAAAGTGCTGGTCAAGGGGAAAATGTTTATATTTGGGATTAGCTGATGCAAACTATTATATATAGAATGTATAAGCAATGAGGTCCTACCATATAGCATAGGGAACTATATTCAATATCCTTAATAAATCATAATTGAAAGGAATATTATAGTTAAACGGTAGCCTTTTCCTTCTCCAGGGCATCTTCCCAACCCTGGGATCAAAGCCAGGTCTCCCACATTGCAGGCAGATTCTTTACCAGCTAAGCCACAAGGGAAGCCCAAGAATACTGGAGTGGGTAGCCTATCCCTTCCCCAGTGGATCTTCCTGGTCCAGGAATCGAACTGGGGTCTCCTGAATTGCAGGCGGATTCTTTACCAAATGAATTATCAGGGAAACCCTACTATAAAGCATAAGAAACTATATTCAATATCCTGTAATAAACCATAATGGAAAGGAATATATATATATATATATATATATACACACACACATATATATACACAAAACTAAATCACTTTTGCTGTACAACAGAAACTGACACAACATTATAAATCAATGAGATTCACCGATTCACCAGGACTATTTCTGCAAGACAGAAAGTAAAAGAGATCAATAGTTTCTATCCTATGATAAAGTGACAAGGCTTCTGAATGTTTTACTTTGTATGCCAACCAGAAGAGATACAAGGGCACTCCTAGAATAGTCATTCCTTCTCACCTGCATTCCAATAACTCATTCCAACATTCATTATGGAGAATTCAGTATTTGGAATAGTAAAATACTCAATAGTTCATTCCAATACTCACCCGCATTCCAATAGTTCTTCATTGGAAGAAAAAGGAGTTGAGTTACAGCAGACAACAGAATTCAGAATAATGTGAGATACACCTTCGAGAATGACAGCCAGCTGGAAGATCATCATGAGTTCTGCACAGAAAAAGAAAGTTTGAGGAGCACTCAATCAGCTGACTTCTTGGTAAGCCTTTCATTGTTCTTATTCAACTATTCTCTGATCTATTCATATTCCTGGAACATCCATTTAGGAAACATACTATTAGAGAATGGATGGGCAAGAGCGACTTTATTACTTGAGCAATACTCCAAGGAACAAAAAATACTTCACTTAAGGTACAAAAAGGGATTTGCCCTTCTTCCCTGCAAACCTTAAGAACCACAACTTTCCACTGCATTCTAATCATTGCAACTAATAAGAGTACATGAATTCTACAACTTTTAGAATCAAAATAATTATGCTTTAGGAAAAATAATGGATCACAAAAGTAACGAATTGTGACTACCATGTAATTTTAATAAGCGTTTCCTCCAAAACTTTAATCCAACTTTCCTTCTCAGGCTAAGAGATTCTCATTTGAACAGAATGGATTTTATGTGCAATTGCTACTACTAGTTTGACATAACTTCTAATTGAAATGTCATGCCCTCAGTGATGGAGTCTCCACTACCAAACCAAACTAGAAGATAAAAACAGCTGCCTTATTAAGGTTTTGACTCAATAATTCCAGCAAAATATGTTTGGCCTGAGAAAAAAATTTCCTGCAATCTTGAATTAATTTTATTACATTCTGGGCTAGAAATGACAGCAAATCTTTACATCTTGCATATCCCCACCTAAAAAGAGAATCTTTCCTCTTTTACAGTGTCCTTACACTAGATCAGGTCAAAACAATTCTAATTGAAATGGACATGGTTTTTCTTATGAAAAGATTTCCCAATAGGCCCATTGACTTTCACATTAAAAAACACTTATAAACCTAGAGAAGTAGAGAAGTTATTAGATATTGCTCAAACATATAAAAGGTTAAAGGAGGAAATATAAAGACAGAGGAAGAGACTTTTTGTTTGTTTGCTTTTGTTTTTAATGAAAAGTACTTTTCCAAAGTAGCAAGTTGAAACAAATTTAAAAGCAGAATATTGTGGATCAGAGTAAAATAACCTGAAATATGATACTGAGAGCTTGTGACATCTCCCATGGTCATAAGGGTTCTGGTTGGAACATTCCTAAAAATAAAGCTTATATTGATTGAAAGCATTTTTCTGGCTGTATGCTCCGTAACATCCAGAGCTATATTGAACTAATCTATCCTCACACCTAGCAGATAGCACACTGCCTGGCATGGAGCAGGCCCTCAGTAAATATTTATTAAATGAGTCCCCAGAATAGAACCACTAGAGGGATATCTCTGCACAACATTCATGCTTGAGGATCCACTTTTTTTTGCATACTTGAAAATGCATTTACTCTTTACTGAACAGTCTTCCAAATAAGGAGATGGTAAGGGCATCATTGTTTGGAATTTGTGCTTATACCTATCGATACAAATAGTTTGCATTGCAACTTAGCATTTCCTTTAAAAAGAAACATACTTTTAAGCTAAGAGTATTAAATGATCCATATTGCTTTCAGACAAAGCATGAGCCAGATGTTAAGATAATTAATAACAGGAACTACACTTGACCTTGATCATATATAGTCACTTGGCCACAGCCAATAAAAGAACAAGGAGTGAATCCTCTCAATTAACTATAAAAATTTTCCCTTCCATGACAGATCTATTTATGTCCCCCAATTTCAAGTCAAAATTAGACTTGAATGATTAGGAGTTTGGGAGTAGCAGAGGCAAACTATTATATATAGGAGGGATAAACAACAAGGTCCTACTATATATAACAGAGAACCACATATAACATCCAGTGAAAAACTATAATGGAATAGAATAAGAAAGAGTATATATATGTATAATGGACTTTCTTTGCTGTACGATAGAAATGAACACAACACTGTAAATACACTTAAATAATTTTTTTTTAATTTGACTACAGACTGGAACAGTATCTCTAGCATAGAAATGATTTAAGAGGGAAACAGTGAGATTACTCCCCAAGTCAGACACTTTAGACCAGCTGACTCAGTTGCCAGCTCCATTCACCCTCTTTCTTGATACCTTACACTAAAGAAGCTAGAAAAGCAAATTGCGTGTTTCAAACCTACTATGTAGCTAGGGGCAATCATATGGAAAGGTCTGGCCAGTTAGACATAAATGATAATATTATTATGTTTTTAAAATTTATTTATTTTTAACTGAAGGATGGGGCTTCCCTGGTAACTCAGTTGGTAAAGAATCTGCCTGTGATGCAGGAGACTCTGGTTCGAATCCTGGGTCAGGAAAATCCCCTGGAGAAGGGATAGGCTACCCACTCCAGTTAGTTTACAATGTTGTGTTGGTTTCTCCTCTACATCAACATGAATCAGCCACAGGTATACATATGTCCCCTCCCTCTTGAGCTTCCTTCCCACCTCCCACCCCATCCCACCTGTCTAGGTTGTCACAGAGCCCCGGTTTGAGTACCCTGAGTCATTCAGCAAATTCCCTCTGGCTATCTATTTTACAGATGGCAGTGTATGTGTTTCCATGCTACCCTGTCCATTCATCTCATCGCCTTCTTCCTCCGCCACACTGTGTCCATAAATCTGTTCTCTACGTCTGCATCTCCAATGCTGTCCTGCAAATAGGTTTGTCAGTATCATCTTTCTCGACTCCATATGTGTGTCTTAATATATGATATTTGTTTTTCTCTTTCTGACTCACTTCACTCTGTATAACAGGCCCTAGGTTCCTCCACCTCATTGGCACTGTTTCTTTTATGGCTGAGTAATATT